CTTGTCCCATTGGCTTTGCTTGTCAGAAGGTCACAAAAGGTGATCACATGACCCCAGGACTTTGCATCCGTCATAAATATAAGTCAGTTCTAAATTTTGATCATGTGACCATGGGGATGCTGCAACGGTTGTGTGAAAAACGGTCATAAGTCACTTTTTTCAGTGCCGTTGTAACTTTGAATGGTCACCCAATGAACTGTTGTAAGTCAAGGACTACCTTATATCACAAATTATCAATCATTGTGACACCAAAGTGCAAGTTTTACACAGGCCCCACAAGGAGCAAAGGCTATAATTTTATTTTATCTTTTCTTTTCTTGTACCCACTACAAAAGAACAAATTGGGATTTAAAAAGAAATAGAGCATGATCAGAGAATCACCCCTCTGGGGATAATGAAAAATGTAGTCTAACACAACTAGTTTGTCCAAAATGGAGGGAATCATCTCTGAATAACAGAATAAACAGAATCAGTCTCACCTAGGTTGAAGTGATTTTTTTTTCCTCTTCACTTGTTCTCAAAACTGCTTTGTCCCTTGGCCTTTGCTTTGCTCCCACCCAGCACCATCTGTGTCCTGTTGGGTCTCTCTTCCCTTCCAAAATCGCATTTCACCTTCACCACTGCCAACTCCCTGACCGCTTGTGACTCAGCTGACAGCTGGTCTGTCCCCTGAGTCTGGAAAGAGGAAGAAATGAGCCAACCTCGCACAAACCCTGACACCTTCCTGCCGCCTTGGCCTGACTCTTTGCCTCCTGTTTCACAACTAAAACGAGTGCATGGAGCTGAATTATGCTTAGTGCTTTGTTTGAGTCTGAGGTTCCAAGGGATCAGATTGCTAGCCTCAGAAGTGAAGCTATCAGCTGATTTTTAAAATAGTCTCTGGTATATGGGGATGTTTGCTGCATCAATTAGGTAAGTTTCTTAAAAGGATGGATGGATGGATGGATGGATGGATGGATGGATGGATGGATGGATGGACATCTGCCACAGGAATGGCTATGGGACAATTGATAAAAGCAACATTGCACCAGTGCAATACAAGCTCCACCCATTTTGTACATGGATCATGACACTTCATACCTATAAGAAAGGGGATGAGCTTCGAGGCCCTAGCCTAGAACAATGCTCTTCCTGATCTGGATCTACAAAATGGATGGAGCTTGTATTGCACTGGTACAATGCTGCTTTTATCGATTACTCCACGCCCATTCCTGTGGCAGATACCCATCCATCCATCCATTTTGATTTGGGTGAAAGGATTGGATCCAACAGAGGCCAATAGATGATTGATTGATTGATTGCAAACACACATATTTGTACACACTGCCCTTGCCAGGCTCCAAAAACCAAGAAAGACACACTGAATTACTGCTAAGAAGTTTCCTTTATTGTTCTTCACTTATAGGACAGAAATCTTGTCAAAGTAGCATACATTACTTGCATCACTGAAGAAATACTCTTAGAATTCCTCGTGGGGAGCTGTCTTGACCCTTTTCCTCCCAACAAATTATCTAAACATTGCTGTCTCTTGCTCCTCTGGAATATGGCCCCTCCCTCTTGGGAATCTGGATTACATTCCAACAATCCCTGAAGACACCTATTTTAGACTTACAAATTCAGATTGACAGTTAAGGTGTTATCTATTAATTAGACTTGTTAAGGTCACTCAGCTCCAAAAAAAACCCCTTAATTTAACCCTGATTTATTTAATAAATCACAATTTATTAAAGCTCTGGCTAAAAAAAATCCTACTGCCATAAACTAATATTTCTGAGTTTATACCATATACCAAATCAAGCAAGCAAATAGTATTTTGACCTACTTGGGTGTGTCTATATTAAAAGATAAAGATAACCTAAGGTTGAGTTCAACTTCTGATAAATTTTTCATATAATTTTCTTGGCAGCAATAGTGAAATGGGTTGCTAATTTGTGACTTCCCAGTCCATTGCATCTCATTCCCTTACTATGCCGATATCTATACAATCCAATTACCAACAGATAATCTGTGATCTCCCCAGCATATTAGTTCTCTTCCCTCGGAGAAAAAAACTAAAACTAAAACTCCTATAAGTATCTTATGACTATCACTTGTTGGTTGTATCTTATGGTTTATGATTTATCACTTTGTTGCTTGTATGTATACTGAGAGCTTATGCACCGAAGACAAATTCCTTGTATGTCCAATCACACTTGGCCAATAAAAAATATTCTATTCTACATTTACAATTTGAGACTTCTGGTTTAACCAAAACAAAAAATGAGGAAGGACATGATCAAAGTGTATAAAATCATGGAAAAAGGGGACAGAGAGAAGAGCTTGTCCCTCCTTACTGTGTCTCAACCTTAGCAACATCAGGATGCGTGGGCCTCAACCCATACTAGCTGCAGAATTCTGGAAGTTCAGGTCCACACATCTTAATATTGCTAAGGTTAATAAACACTGCTTTTAAAACATTGGTTACTTCATACAGTGAAGCTGATTGAAGTAACTAGCCTGTGGAATTCATCCCTTTCTTGCCATAGTGATCTATGCTGATTTGGATGGTTTTAAGGGGAATTGAATATATTTTCAGAAGACAGAGCTACTGTGTTTCTCCAAAAATCAGACCGGGTCTTATATTAATTTTTGCTCCAAAAGACACATTAGGGTTTATTTTCTGGTTAGAACTTATATTCGAGAAAATAACAATACTAAATGCATCAGTCTGGCTGACAATCTTAACTGGGGATTATTTTGGGGATGGGGCTTATATTAGGAGCATCCTGAAAAATCATACTTGGGCTTGTCTTCTGGTTGGGTCTTATTTTCGCGGAAACACAATATTCATTTCAAACATTCCATGCCACTTTTGGAATGGAGTCAGTATCCCCTCCAGGATATGAGGAATGATTATGGGAGATTGGTACTTCTCCACCTCCAACTTGCAAGTACTTTGGAAGCATCTGGTTGGCCATTGTGAGAAAGAAAATACTGGAATAAAATGGCCTTGCCCTGATCCAGAAGAACTGTTGTCATGTTCACATATATTTAAAAAGAGATTGGCTATCTGTTTTTCAGAAACAGTGAGAGAACGTCAGCGATGCAAGGAAACCCACATATGCCTCCTGTTTGCATTTTTAAATGTACAGATTCAAACTCCATCTGTAAATTCTGTAAGTATGGCTGGAAAGGGCTGAATTGATTGATACTTCTTTCTTCATTATGAGAAGAAAGTTAAGGAAAGTGGAAGTTCTGATTGGGGTCTTATCAAATGACTGGTGACTTTAAGGTTCCTCAGCTGACTGTTAAGGATGAGACAGTCAATGAAAAGTGGCACGCCCTAAAAATGCCCATCAAAGCATGTTTGCAGGCAGGAGCGCAAACTGTAAGCAAGAATTAAGCAATGGCATTTACTTTCAAGTAAGTGGTCATAAATCACAATTAGTATAATATAAATAATTAAAATCCTTATTATCACCCATTCCTCTTATTCCGTTATTCTTCAGTTTGGAAGGGTCTCAAAGCAACTTACGGATTTTTTTTGTTACAGATATTTATTGCCTTTAACAAAAAAATATGTAGGAAAAATAATCCACATATTAATTCTGAAAGGTTGTAATTAGGAGACATAAAAGTAGAAAACTTCTCAATGTGACTATTGCTGTATCTTTCTGGTAAAAGTTTGCATGTCTGCATTTATTTACATAAGTTGCATATATCCAGCCAGCCAGATTTAAAAAAAAAAACTTGATTTGTTTTGTTCTCTGTATAATGCAGAAAGCCAAATCAATGCTCTTTAATAATATTATATATTTTGGGAAGAATGCCACTACATTCAAAAAGAGCCATTTTTCATTTGATATTTTTATTTTATTAACAAGATTTTTGTGGAACTGAATCAATTCATCAAGCAAAGTTGTAGCAATAACCAATTTCTCATTTCTGGAATAGTTTGAACATTTACTAAATATAAGATGATACAGAAATTTGCAAATTAAAATGCTTATAATTGCAATTCTTCTCCACCCTAACTTTATGTGGAATAAATATATTTAAACTAACTGAACATTGGTATAAAATGAGATAAGTCTACAGATGCCATAACAACACAACTAACATAATTCTTGTAGATGAGTCAAGGCAGCCTTTTCCAAATTCTCTAGATATTTTGTACTGTAGCTCTCACCAGTCTGAAGCTGTGTCTAAATAATGGATGTTCAACACAACTGGAGGGCACCAAGCTGGGATGGTTGCCTTTGGGAAATACAACCATGCAGAAAAATGTGCACCAATCAAAAACATGTTTTTCATAGAATGTAAGAATGTAAAATTGGAAAGAATGGGTCTTTCTTCTGAATCGGAGGCACAGGATTTTGGTATTAAGACAGATCATCTGCATCTCTTTTGACACTACACCAGTGTTTCTCAACTTTGGCAACATAAAAGATGTCTGGACTTCAACTCCCAGAATTCCCCAGCCAGCATAGAGAATTCTGGGAGATGAAGTCCACACAACATAAAGTTCACAAGATTGAGAAACAGTGCTCTAGATTGCATCACAGGGTTTTGTTTCTCATGGCTAATGTGATATGACAGTCTATCAAAAGGACAAGAAAAGCAAGTGAGTGGGGTTTCCTGCACGTTATTCCACACTCCAGCCCTGTACGCGAATGGGTGCTGATGCCTCATGGGAATGGGGCCCTGTTTCATCACTTTCTTGAGGGATTTGCTTACATTTGGATGTGGGAGAGAGAACCATCTACCATCCACCTGTTCCCAATCTCCAGAGACTGGAGACTGTGAGATAGAAAATTTTGCCTCCACCACCTCTCCCCCTTTTCTTCTTCCTTTACTCCTGCCTTGCCCCACCCCACTGCCACGACTGCGCTCCACCCCAATCCCAGCTTCTTCCTGTCTCGGCTTAGTTCAATACTTTTGAAAGATTAATGACTCTGAGCTGCTTACTCGGCCTTCTCTTGAGACGCAGCTGCAACTTACAAGGAAGTCTTGCGTCCTGCCCAAGCTTCTCTTCTCTTCTCTTCTCTTCTCTTCTCTTCTCTTCTCTTCTCTTCTCTTCTCTTCTCTTCTCTTCTCTTCTCTTCTCTTCTCCCCTCCCCTCCCCTCCCCTCTCCATCTTTTCAGCAGATCCTAATCCAGACCACTATCTAAATAAAGTCGTCACTTCTATTCGCTATATTAGTTTTTCTTCTTTCCAAAAGCTCTTACGTTCTGCTTTCCCCTTCTCTTTTCTTTCTCTTCTTTTGGTATCCTTTCCGTACCCAGAATCTCTTGCTCCACTTTCGGAACCTCAGTTTTTGTACTAACAACCCTCCCTCCCCATTCGTTGCCTTTCGTTTTCCCATCCATGGTCCACTCTCCTATAATCTCTTCTATCCGCCCGTCCCCCCCTCCCCCTCCCGACTCTCAGCTCACACAGGTCGCGATTCCCTTAATCTCACGCCGGGCGCTGTAGCGCACTCTCGCGTCGCTCTCCGTGGTGCTGAAACCCCAACCTTGGGCGGCGTCCGGGTTTTCGGGACAGGAAAAGTTCGCGCCGACGATCTGAGACAGCTCTGGCGCTCCGAGCCGCCGCCTCCGCAGATCCCTTGCCAGAGACTGATCCCCTAGTGGTTAGGTGCTTGCGGAAGCGCGGGGAGAGAGTGGGACCCTCCGCAGCGTCCCACGCAGGGCGCGGGTACTAGTGCGCGGAGGCAGAGCTGCCCCCATGACGCTTCAGGCCGTGTTGGTGGATCGGGCAGGGCGCCAGGCGGCAGCGCCGTTGATGGTCGCATCCCCACGCACCGCTCCTCAAGTTGAGAGATCTCGAGGGTCTTAGAGAAAACCCAGAGATCGGTGGAGAGAAGGGGAGGAAGAAGAGCTAGGAAGGACAGAGTAGGGAAGAAAAGAACGAGGATCGAGGGAAAGGGGAAAGAAGCCCACGAAACGAAAAAAAATAAAGGCATCGGGCGAGAGGAACGGGTTGAGATCGCTGTGCAACCCCGTGTCTCCCCAAGAAGCCTTCCTGATGTTGTGGCGGAGTCTGTAACTGTTCACCTCCGTGTCTCCAAAGGTGACACTGGGAAAGGAGAGGGGCAGGGGCGTCCCAGCGCTTCTTACTTTTACCAAGGAAGCAAAACATCATGGAGTTTCGAAAAGAAGAGTTTAAGAAGTTGACTGGAAGGACCTTGGGGCAGATAAACAGGTAAGAATTTGACACTGCCTACTTGCTTTCCTTTCTCTCTTTAAAACTGCAAACAGATTTGTGTGTCTGTATGGGGGGGGGGGTGTTATAACAAAGTTTACTGCCATCTAGCCAAAAGAGAAATAACGGGGTTTGAATAGTAAACTGTAACTATTTAAAACAGTACATGTAAATGCTCTACGTTTTCATTGAATTATAGGGTAAACTGGAATTGAAAATGGGGGGGGGGGTTTGCAAGACGTTATAACTGTCATAGGCAATGCCCACACTTTACAGATACTTGTATTCTCAATTACTCACTTATAGCTTATACACATTTTCCAGCTCTGAGGTTGCACTTAAACAGATACACATGCACACAGCAAGGTCTTTAGAGCAATGCCATCCCATTCAGTGTTGATGCTGTATTTCTTGTATATTCTCACAATAATTACCAAGCGTGCCTCATCCTAACAGTTCAGGTCTGTAAAATACAGTCTCTTGTTAATGAACTCATTCCCAGTACACAGTTTGTGGAGGAGGAAGGATGGAGGTTGAATTCAGGTCAGTTCCCTACCTCACTGGGGTGTTGTGTGCAAGTCAAATGGGGATTGTGGAAATTATATATGATCTCCTGATTTAATTAGGTGGAATTAAAATATACAAACCATATATAATTGCATACTTATCTGAGTGCTCAGCTATTGGAGGTCAACCATGATTAACTAACATTTTCACACAGCATAATATATATTTTCTAGTAGCTTTTCATGCATGCACCAAAGACCACAAACTGCTTTCCTTTCTCTTTCCATTTTTACTTTATTTTTTTCATGTGCGCCCCTGCTTAGAGAATCCACTTTCTATCTAAGTTTTTTTTTTTTAATCTCTCCTTTGCTCTATAGCCAGATGGAATCTCTTGGCTACAAACCTGAATGCTTCAATTTATTTTGTATCACTATGTTTGCATGCTTCAAATATATAGGGAAATCATTTTTCTAGTTCTACAAATCACATTTAAACTCTTTCATATCTCCCCTTGCTCCTATCTCCAGTATTTTAGCATTTACCAAACACTATATATTTGGTCACCAGAATGTGATGATGAGAAACGTAACCATGATTGAAAAGAACAAGAAATAGAAATGTTTCTATTTTTAACCTTCATCTATCCATTTCTCCACCCCACCCCATCACCCCATACAATAATGTTTCCACTACTCAGCATTACTATTTCTGCTACCACCACCTTAATATATCCATAGATTTCCCATTATACCTAAATCTTTTTCTGCGCTGAATATTATATTTTCATTTATTTTATTACATTTGCTCAGCCTTGTATAAGTCCAGAGAATAACTTTGCTAGTAGAGGATGGGTTTTAAAATAGCTTGTCAAATTCATCTTAGTTTCTTCAATTTGCAGGACAAGGAATTCGAAATGTTGTCAATTCCTGAACTGAAAGATAATGCACAAGAAATCAAATCGGGAAAAGAATGTTTGACTATTAAGCACCCTGAGATCAAATTCTCAACAATCTAAATCTTGAGAAAAAAGAGGTTTTGGATAGTCACAATCCAAAATGGCCCAATTCCCATTAAGGCAAACCCAACGTAAGATGATATATTCCTCTAGGAATGGCTCATCAGTTATTATCCAAATCTCCCCACATCCATGCCACTTCCTTCCAAGCAAAGCCTTCTAAAGTACTAGGAGATCAAACAAGGCTCCGGTCGATGCAGCTGAGAAGATCATTGCTATTTAAAAATAAACAAAGCCAAACAAAGAAAAACTAAAATAAAACCCCAGCCCACCATAAAGATACAGAGGGGGTAGTCTGACTGCCACAGCAAAATTGCTTTACGTAATTGGCATGGATTCCAGTTTGAAATATGCACCGTCATAGTGGAACATAAAATATTCACCAGAGTTATAAGTGGCTAGAGAGCGCTCGCTCTGTCTCTCTCTCCCCCCCCCCTATTTCTATAAGTATATTTAAACTCACAAGGACGTATACTTCTTCCATAACTCTTCTGACTAAAACAGATAGTTATGCAGACAACAAAATATCCCTCCCACAAATATGGTTCCTTGGGGACAACATGAAGATTTGTAAGGCATCTCTATGAATGCATAAGAATTTGGAGTACCCAGTTCAATGAAATTAATCAGGCTCACCCTCAGCATATAGAATAACCTTTGCTGTAAGAAAAAAAAAACAAGAAATCAAAGCCAAGTTTCTAACCTAATTTGAAAAATAAGAGATAGAACTTTGGAATGCCAGGCAAAGATTAAATAAGGCAGGTAGAGGAATGGAACATTTCCTAGTAGCAGAAACAGATTAAATTATAGAAGAGATATGCAAATGTGCTTCTTTTACATAATTTATTCAGGTGCAGAATCTGTTTCTCTTCAGACTGAATTGGATTGTCTCAGGATGGTACCAAGTCCTGAATACATGCATCTATGCATATCATCTCTTTATAAACAGCTTTTGAACTTCAGGACCGATCAATGAGCTACTACTTAAAAAAAAAACAACAGGGCATAGAGTGGAGCCCAGAGTCACAGCTTATGATGTCTTCCGCACAAGATGTGTGTCATTCTGACTCAGCAACAGCTGCGACAAAGACAGTATGGAGCATCCAAAGGAATGATGGGGACCCAATCCCAAGAGAATATTTGCACCTTTGCTTAAAACTGGGGAGTGGGGATGGAGGGATGACAGAAAAAATCCTCATCAATATTCAAGAGTATGCCGGCTTTCATGACAAGCATGGTTATAAATTCCAATATTAAAACCTGTATTCAGATACTTACTTTACAGCAGCACTAACAGACATAATAGAGCTAGATAAGTAATTTTACCAAAAACAAGATAGAAGACACCAATGCGCTGAAACCATGCAGTTTTACCTGTGTATTTGAGAATCACTGGTTGTCACCTCACAGCTTCAGCCTTAGAAATTGGGAAGGAATTTTGAAAGTCAGTTCCACTAAGGCAGTGATGGCAAATCTTTTAGAGACCAAGTGCCCCAAAACTGGCCCCATCCCCTGCCCCGCCCCCGCCCCGCCTGCCTCCAGGGCCCACCACAGATTGCCCAGGCAGCCCAGCAGTGCCATGGCAGTCACACCCTCTGCCAGCGCCCTGCAGCATCAACTGTGCGCGATGGGGCATGAGGGCAGTCTTGTCTACGCTGTCTGGCTGCCATGTCCTTGGCTGCGCTGCTCCATATGAGCCACGCTTGGGGGCAACTCTCCTCCAGGAAGGCTGTTGGTGAGGAGGGGATCGTGGGGGGAGGCAAGGCTGGGGCAACGGCACGTGTGCCCACAGAGAGGGCTCCGAGTGCCACTTCTGGCATGGTGCCATAGGTTCGCCACCACTGCACTAAGGTCTCCAGAAGGAGAAATTAGATGATGTAGCAGCTGAAACTTGTTGAAGAAAAAATGTAGGATCTTCCCATACTAGCAGTCACTATATATTTTAAGAAGTTTGTCAGAATGAGGCTATGTGGTTACAAGTCTATGTTTTCTATCTTGGAAATGTCCAGATGTGTGGATTTCAGTTCCCAGAATTGCTCAACTAGCATAACCTTCATTGGAGATGCTAGGAATTAAAGTTTACTCTTGGAAGAGGCTAAAGTTAGATACTAACAAAAAGTGAAGAAGACTGGGTTTTGGGATGGGGAAATATGAGAATGGTAGCTACACATTTCTACTCGGAAGAGCTGTGAAAGACAGGAGCAAGCTGTGCCCATAAAACATATTTGGCCAGAGGTGACTCAACCACACTTATAATAAAACATGGCAAAATAAACCATTTTCCTCAGTTTTATAGGTAATGTAACAAAGCAGCAAGTGGCTACTTGACGCAGCACTCTTAGTTAAAATGGGGATGGGTAGATTGTCATTTGGAATATTATAGGTCAGGGCTTTTCAACCAGTGGTACGGGTACCACCTGTGGTACATTGGCACCTGGCAAGTGGTACGCGACCATTCTAGAAAAGTGGTAGCGGGGGAGGGGAATGAGCTGAACCGGTGGCAGCACCACACAAGCCTGAGCTAAAGAGGCTGGAGCTGCAGGGCTGTCAGGGCTCAGTGGAAGCACCAGGATCAGTGCCGCTTTCCAGCTGATCGGCGCTTCTTCGGGACTGTCAGGGCTCAATGGAAGCACCAGGATCAGCGCCAGGCTCCAGCTAGAGCATTCAGCTGGAATGTTGCAGCATCTCCAGGATCTTGTGATTCACATTCAGATGCTTGGCAACTGATTCATATTTATGATGGTCACAGTGTCCCAGGGTCATGTGAAGTGACCAAACCCTGCTGCAACCACCCAGCAGACGGGAGGAATAAAAACCAAACACCTCCCCCCCCACCCCCACTGCCAATCCTCAACAGAAATGCTCACAACAATGAAAACTTCAGACAGGAGGAAGAGCGCCGCCAGGCGGGCAGACAGGTGTCTTGCTTGGCTGTGGCTTGGGGGACACTTTTTTCAGTGCCATTGTAACTTCGAACAGTCACTAAGCGAACTGTTGTAAGTCGAGGACTACCTGTACTTTATCACTTTTTTCCTTTTTTTTTAGTCATCAAGTTTTTGACACCTTGCTAGGCAACTGGTGGTACTTGGATGTTGCCATATCCTAAAAGTGGTACAATGGGTGAAAAGGCTGAAAGGGCTTGTTGTAGGTCACCCAGTTACATGTTAGCGTTTTATGTGAACTAAACGTGCTAAGCCATAAGGTTTAGCTCTCTGGGCCTAGCTAGCATGTTATACAAGCAGAGCAATTGCATTTTTTTTAGAACAAGTTTTATTAGTTTGTTTAACTCTTACAACAAAGTGGTCGAGACACACCGTGGTGCTAGGGGAATCAAACATCCAACAACAAAACCACATAAAATAACCCAAGTAAATACATTAAATATCCCCTCTCTATTTCCCTCAAACAATATAACATATTTAAAACAATCCATTTCTACATTAAATTTCTATAAATCCTAATCCTGTTTTTAAACTTC